GCAGGTTGAGAAGCCTCTGGGATGTTGAAAGTGACGCTCTCTGGAGCTCTTGGGCATTGATAAAGCTGACAAATCAAATTATGTGCTCTGACTTCAGGGAGTTGCCTGCAGGCTGGGGAAGGACTGCCACTGTGCCTCACTCACTCACTCACGGTCCAGGAGGAGGTCGATATTCCCTGGACACTGGGCAGAGGTGCCTTCTGAGGCTGCTGGAGACTCATCACCTTTCTGTTAACGCTGGCAGCTCACCTACCATGGCATTCAACTCAATAACCTGGTGTGATAAAACACTAATGGCACCCTGCTCCTCTCCTTGCATTCTGCTCTCCTCCCCACTTCTGTGTACTCTTCACTTTTTGCCTGTGTTAGCCAATAAGCAAGTTCTTCAGCAATATATTTTTTAAGACAAGTATTAGCAGTGCAGCTTTGTTGGTCCTACAGCTGGAACCAGTCCCTCTTAGGGTGGTGCCTTCCCAGGATGCTCACTAAAAATTAACTTTTCAAGATAACGTAAATCATTTTCTGTTCTTGTATGACAAATGCTGCAGCACTCCATGGCTAAATTGCCCTTTTTTACTCATCAGCTGCTGCATCCATCATTTCCAATAAAAATAAAGCTAGCAGTTATCTCTGGGAAGAGCATGTCATGTAACCAGTCATGCTGAGAAGAGGAAGTGGTGTCTGTTCAGGTCAGAAGAAATAAATTTTTGCAGGTAGAACAAATTAAACATTCCAAAAGCTGTTTGAGAAGCTGAAGACTCATCAATTTTAAACCCCTCTCTGTTTATCATGGGTAAGGGTCTGTGTTTTGTTATTTGAAGACGAGCCTGTATTTGAATCTCTGCTGCACAAAGTCAGATTCACCTATTGTCTTACACAATGGTGCTGCTCTGTGCTGCAGACTTCTGAGGATGTTAGTGGGCATTCCTAGATCCAGAATACCATTCCACACATCACTACAAGGCTCTAGATGCAAATCAAAACCAGGTGTCTGAAAACCCAGGAGTACGAGGCCTCCTGCCACTGTTCCTCAAGGCTAAGGTGCTGCTTTTATAACTGCAGCAGTTTCTTGTGAGAGGCAGAATATATTCAGAATATCCATGTAATACTGTGTAGAGATCCATCGTGTGGGAGGTGGATCTAGGAGTGGGACACTGTCCTCTGCTGCTCCCAGGTCCATCTGTGTGAAGAGACACTGAAAGCTGGAACTCTTTGATCTTCTCCTGCTGTCTCTTGGCACACAGCGTCCACTTTGCTCGCTCCCTAAAAGTGTCAGTGGCTTTTCATATCCGCAGCATCTGTTGTTCTTAAACGGATGATTCCTGTGGAAATCATCTTGGGAAAGGTGAGTTTTAGTATGAAATCTTGACATTTTTTACTCCTCTTGAACACTGGCTGGAGCTCTGCTCATATCTAGAAGGCAAACCTTCCTGCTTACCTCTCAAGGAAGCTTCTGTGCCTCTCCAGTCCAGATAATTGAGCAGAATTGGGAATTTCCATGTCAGAGTGGGACTTCACATTGCTCAGAAAGGCTTTGGAGTGTGGGCTGTGGGTCCAGCAAGGAAAGAAAAGAGAAATTGTGTGGTTTACAGTTAGGAGAAAAAGAGGAAAAATAAAATTAAAAAGGTCTGATGAGATAGGAGTTACTACCCTGTGAAACAGGAGTTTTGGAAGCTATTTGGGGAACAGAGGGAATGATCAGCATCATGGACAGGGAAGGCACAGCACAGACAGGACTGTAGGCAAAAGGTATCTTCTATTCCCAGGGCTAAGCCAGAATTAATGAAGAGCAAACCCTGAGTAAAGCACTCAGACCTGCAGGGTCTGAGCCAGTAACCCAAAGCACTCATTCACACCTCCAAATTACTGTGTGCTTTCAGTTCTTTCCTTGGACTCAGTGCAAAATAGCACCCAGTTTTAAAGGGACTGGAGTAGGTTTTGTGGGCTAATGCTTGCTGATGTGCAGGAACACACACCTTCTGCCTGTAGCTGCTTTGGTGTCAGAAAATGGAAGGTTTTAAACTCCCAGCATGAAGAGCATATATATGGAATGCCTGTGTTCCCTGTCCTCTTCATCAGAGGGTGGAGAATTAAACCAAAGAGCTCTGCAAAATCTAGATTTCTTCATTATAAAACTGCAGTACAAGAATGAAACAAAGTATGGAAATATTTTAAGAAACAACACGTGGAATTTTTTTCTCCCAGAGATGGAATTTCTCAGGAATTCTCACCGTGACACTTCCCTATTCACCTCCCTTCAGCTTGGTGCATTGAAGAGGAGGAGCTCAGAGGGACAAAAAGCTTTGCTTTGCTCCCCTCTGCTGCAGCCCGGACCCTGCAGGAGTGAGCCCTTTGTAGTTCCCAGTGTGGCTTCTACCCCCACTGCTTGCTCCCAGTGCTGCTGTCTGGCCAGTTCCTTTGCAGGTTTTAGCACTGATTATTGTCAGCTCCAGTTTCTCAGAGTTTCCTCTGTTGCTATGTAAAAAGAAAAGCCACACAGAGATGAGGTTTGTATAAACCTGCTCTGTGATTTGGGATCTGTTTGATTGGTGGTGAGACCAGTGCTGGTGCAGCTGAAGCAGTTTGCAGCCTTTCTGAGCACATCTAACTCCCATATGTTCTCATAAATTCTAGAGTATTTTCCTGTCTTTTTTAGCACACTTGTTCTATTTGTGATGCTGCCTTAACGTGTGTGTCACTTGGTGCCATTCCTGCCTTCAGTTCTTTCACGGCACGCTCAGACCTTGGCCAGTTTCATCCCACCTCCCCAGAAATTCCTCCTCCTGGGCCTGCAGCACAGGGATCTTCAAGGAGGGAGGGGGAAGAAGTGACAAAAACAAAATACAACAGGACCATCAAGCCTCATGATGCCCTTCCACACTTCTCTGTGATGTTGCATCATCTCTAAAAATAGAAATTAAGGTCCACTGGGAATCACAACTCATCTTTAGTTCTGTGAAGTACCCCATGGGTTTGGAGTTTTGCTTTAAAAAGCCATGGATGAGATAGAAGGGTGAGGATTAAGGTGCTTTTTTTCCTTTTTCTCACTAGTAGTTCTACTTCTCAGTACTGATGATCGACTTGAGAAGGTCCAAACCAAGCTGCCCATTGCTTTTCAGAGCTCAAATGAAAGGAGAAGGGAGATCACAGGAGCCTGAGGTATCACACATGAAGGGGGGTTTGGGTAGAAGAACATGGTCTTCCCAGCCTGGGTGCTTCTCACCTCCCAGTACCTTAAACAAATAGAAAAATAATAGCATGAGTAATTAAACACAGAGAAAACAGGCAGGATCAACTGATTATCTTTTGATGATAAATCAAGTAAATTGACACAGGTAGGAGTGGAAAGCAGAGCTTAAAGGATGATCTGTTTGTATTGCAGTCAATTTGAAACAGCATCTGTTGCCTTCTTGGGTCAAACTGAACATGTCTGTGTCTGGGATTTTTTCAGAACTGACTCACTAAGACTCTTCAGGAGGAGTAAAATACTAAAACTAAAAGGTTCTATGAAATTTCATAGATTTTGGACTAATTTGGCTAAATTTTGGACTACAAGGGATTGTAGAAGACCATTGTTCACGTTTTGTGGAAGCTCAGGTGGCTGCCTGGGACATCCTCCTGCCTCATGGCTGTGCCATTTTCTCAACTGGGGACTTGGATAAAGGTTTGGCTTCAGCGTTCTCTCCCCACTCTTCTGCAATTTCCAGCAAATGGCAGGAAAAATCCAATCTGTGCTCAGAAGGAGAGAGCTGGAATGTTAGGTAACATGACAAAGGCACAGCAGGAGGACCACAACTGAGTGAAAAGCAAGTCTGCAGCTCTGCCTGTAAGTGAAGTTTCTCTTCAATCAATATTTCACTATGTGAGCAGTTTATTCTGGACAAGGAACATCTCTGAAATGGTGCAGAAAGTTTTGTCCTGCCAGGAGCAAGGGGTATGTGACCACACGGCCACCTTGGTGTCGTGACTCAGAATGCTCCCACACGGAGCAACACCAGTGTGGAGTGATGCCCACCTGGAAAATCCATCCCTGGAGGATCAACAGGGATCATTTTTGTGGTGTTTCTTTTCCATCTACGTGATGTAGAGAAGCATTTGACAAATGATGGTGGCAAGTGTAATGCTGATGATAAAAGGCACAGGAACCGTTTTGTGCGAACCTGTGAAATCTCTGGAGTTCTTGAGAGTTTCCTCCTCCCTTCCCTTGGAATGAACTTTAAGAAATCACATCATTGGTGGCTCTGATTTATGTAGAGTAATTGTTGGGGTGCTGCAGGTGCTCAGTTCCTTCTCAGACATGGCATCTCCCCCAGGATAACCCCTCCTCACGGGGACACCCAGGGTTTTGGGGGTCTGCCACGCCATCACTGCTCTCCATGACACAGTGAGGGGCACAAGCAGGAGGGAGACATTTGATAAGGCAGAGACGAGGGAGATCACAGAACCACAGCATCAACGAGGTCAGAAAAGGCCTCAGAAATCAGCGAGTTCAACCCCAACACCACCTTGCGAACCAGACCATGGCACTGAGTGCCACGTCCACTCTTCCCCTAAACGCCTCCGGGAACAGGGACTCACAACCTCGCTGGCCTGCCCGTTCGATCGGGAAGGTGCATGTGCAAAGAACAGCGCGTGAGGCACTGAAGGGGCACTGAGGGGCCGTGGAAGGTGGCCCAGTGGCTTTGAGGAGATTTAAGATGTGAGCGGGCCAAGGATGCTGGGGGTGGCTAAGGGAAGTTCTGTTCGGGAAGGGCGCGGTGCGGGGCCCGGTGCGAGGAGCGGTGCGGGGCGCTGAGGGTGGCCGGGCGGCCATTTTGCGAAGGACAATGCCCGCCGCGCGGGGCGGGGCAGGGGCGCGCGCACGCAGCGCGCGGGCAGCCGGCGCCGCCGCCGCGTTATGTAACGGCCGCGGGGCGCGCGCGCGCTCCCTCCGCCGCCCCTTCCCCCTCTCTCCCGCCTCACCCCCCCGGCTCGGGCTTCGCTCCGCCCCCTCCCCGCGCGCCGGGGCCCAATGGGCGGCGGGAACGCGCCCGGGGGGGGAGGGGAGAGCGCGGCGGGTGCGCGCACGCACAGCCGCGGGGCCGCGCCTTGCCCCGTGCGTGCGCGCTCCCGGCCCCCCCCGCCTTCCCCTCTCTCTGTGTCCCTCTCTCTCCCTCTCTCCGCCGCGCTCGGCCGGCTCTGCCCCCCCTTTGTGCGCGCTCCGAGCCGCCCCCGCATCGCCGACTCGCCATGGCCGACGAGAAGCCCAAGGTGAGGCCGGCGCGCTCCGCAGCTCCCGCCGCCGCGCTCGGCCCCTCAGGCGGCGGCCCCGGCCCGCAGCCCCCGCGCCGCCTTTGCGCGCCATTTTCCTGCGCGGGTGGGGGGGGCCGAGGCCGCGGCTCCCGGGGCGGGCGGGGGATCCCCGGGGAGAGGGGGAGCGAGCCCGGGCCGCCTTCCCGCCCTCCGTGGGGAGAGAGGCAGGTCTGGAGGCGGTTGCTGCTGCCTTCCTCCTCCTCCTCCTCCTCCTCCGCGGCCGCAGCATCCCCGCCGGCTACCTCGGCAGCCGCTGCCCTCACGGTCCCCGCACGGCTCCGGCCCCTTTGTGCCGCCTCTGGCCCCGCTCGGGGCCGGGGGGGCCGCGGGGGCTCCGCTCCGCACGGCAGGAATTAACAGAGGCCACCGCCGGGGGGGTTGGCTTTTTTTTTTTTTTTTTTTTTTTTCCTCCCCCACACTATTTTCAACCCGAGTTATTTTTTTTTTTTTTTTTCCTCCCCCACACTATTTTCAACCCGAGTTGGAAGTGGCGGAGGGCGCGGGGCCGCGCGCGGGCTGACACATGGCGGGACCCGGCTCCCAGAAAAGAGGGAAAACAAAGCTGGAATTGGGGGTGCCGGACAGCCCCGGAGCGGGACAGCCCCGATCCCCGTCCCTGTGCCCTGAGGCCCGGCCAGAACACGAGGGACGGAGCTGGAAGTTGATCCTCCGCAGTTTTCCGCTCCGGGAGGGTCGGGCTGCTTGATGTGGAGTTTTTTTAAACATTTTCTGAAGGAGAAGACCTGGGCTGTTTCAGGTTTTATCACCGTTTGAAACACAGCCCTTTAAAGTATCTGGAAAGTTTTTTTTAATAACGACATCAAACGGTAGGAAAAAGTTTGAGGTGCAATGAGAAAGAGCCTTGCTGCTGGTTGGGAGCACAGTTGTAACACAAATCAGCTATAACAGATCATAGTATAACATAGGTAACTTAATTCCATTTAGTGGGAACACTGGTGTTGCATATTGTTGTGCTTTTGATAGAAATAACTTTTTTTTTTTTTTCTTTTTTTTTTCCCCTCTGTGTTGAATGCCTGGCCTGGTAATTCTTCATTGCTAAATTTCCAGTCTGCAGAATGACAGTTAATATCAAATTTTTTTTATTGTATGTGGCTTTTCTTCCTTTAAATTTTCAACTGAAAAGTGCTGACCTTTATTCCCTAATTCAAGGTTTCAAGTCAGTAAACAGCTTTAATATCTTTATTTCCTCCTTTTCAATAACCTGTTGCACTTTGGTAAAATGTTAACTTCTTGTTTCATACCTTTTTTAAAAAGTGTTGGTTACTTTTTTTTTTTTCTTTTATTTCCTCCACAGGAAGGAGTGAAGACTGAAAACAATGACCACATTAATCTGAAGGTGGCAGGGCAAGATGGGTCTGTGGTGCAGTTTAAGATTAAGAGGCACACACCACTTAGTAAACTAATGAAAGCCTATTGTGAACGACAGGTATGATCTCAGGAGAACGGTGTCTGGGGGAGAGCTGCTCTCCACAGGGATAGAGGAAAACAGTTGAAGTCTTAAAACTTCAGTAAATACACAAAATGATAGAGATGGAACAGAAACTAACTGTGCTGTGTATTGTCCTTGTGGTCTGTTACTCGGTGGACTTGAGAGGGTTGTGGCAGGAAATGGGTAAATAAAGTTGTTGTCATCTATGAAATCTGCATTTATAGGTGGAGGCCTCTGGGAGGTAACTGCTGCTCTAATGCTTAGAAATATTCGTGTGGAAAGGGTGGGTTTGGAATGAACTTAGGGAAGAGAGAGTTAAATGGTAATCAGGGATTTTTATAGCTCTGAGTGACTTCTTGGACTGGTCACTGGCTCCTGATTTATTAGCTTAATTGTACTGCGATGAGAAGATACCTTGAGAAGGAGCTTGTACATTTAAAGATGAGCTTTGTTTTTTCTCTTGTGTCCTGGTTGACAAATGAATATTCTGAGAGACACACACACCCCATATGTTTGCTGATGTGGTGGCAGCTGCAGCCAGTCTGTGAGGATGCAAGCAGCTATTGCAAGTTTTAAAAACACCTGTTTGAGTAGAGCCATGGAACTCCTCCTTCTGAAGCTCCTGATTAGGGAAATTTTGGTATCCACAATATTTAGTGACTGTCTGCCTTCAAAATATTTTATCTCTACAGAAGTGTTCAGAATTTGTGAATTTTTAATTTTTTTAAACATAAATGCTCAAGGATACTATTGCATACAATAAAGTCAGTGTAAGATATTGGTGCAGCTATTTCATCACCAGGAAAAACCCTGTGATTCACATAGAGAGTGGTAAAACCTCTTTTGTTTGCCCTGTGCCACAACAGAATAAGAGTAAAGACAGGAAAAATTAGCTCTTGCTGAACATGTGAATGTGTTCTTGTATGAGTGTTCTGTGGAGAAATCAGTGAATGTTGGAAGCTGTGAGTTTGTTTTTCCTACCTCAGTCATACAAACTCTTGTTCTATTTTTCAAATCACTGTGTTGCTTTTTCCAGTCATAGAGTGCAGTTATATCTGTCTGTCAGGGAATTTGAGGATTGGTTATTTGTCTATAAATCCTGGCATAAAAATATTTTAAAGTATCATTCATTTTTAGTTACTTTGAAGCAAGCAAAAGTAATAGTCCAAATTGTCTTAGATTGCCAAAATGTTTACTCTGCTTAAAGAAAAACAAAACCAAAGCCAGCAAAAAAAATCCAAAAACAACAAAAAAACAAACCCAGGTATCAACTGGAGGAAAAACATCTGTAAATCTTGAGAATGGGAGACATTTTTTGGGATCTTAGTTTTAAGCTACTAAGTATCCAAACAATACTTTAGTGGATATGGATTTGTCTTTAGGTGCTTGCTTCTGAAATTTTGCTGAATGTTTATGAACAAAAAACATTTGTTCTACATGTCTCTAGAAGTTAGATTTTATTCATGTATTTATTTACCTAGCTAGGTACACCCCAACATAAATTTTGGAATTTTGGAGAGGTGACAGAGAACTTAGCAGCTATAAAGGATGATAATCATATGTTGTGTGTAGTAGATCTAAAATGGAAATAACTTGAGTGACCTGTTGAAAAGATCAAAACTATTTGTGATAAAGTGGTGAAAAAATCATCCATGAACCATACTTCATGTTTTGTGGACGCTAAGCTCACCAAAGGACAGTTTTTCAGTATGTTTTCAGCTAACATTTATTTAGCTCATAAGGTTGTCATGAACCTGGACAAAAACAACACTCTGGGAATGGGAAATACATGTTTCAAGAAACACAGTGTCAGAGAAAAGGGCTCAGACCAAGTGTTGCTGTGCAGAAATGTGTTGCTGCCATGAGACTGAGCCACACACTTCCTTAGACCAGATGATGTTCTGAGAGAACACTGCAGTGTCTTGATGCTGGAGAAGGCATTTTTTTGTGAACCATAAAGTTAATAAAAAAAGTTTACTCACATTTATTAAAATATTTTTCCTGACAAATCTACTCCTCAGAAATAATTACTACATTGTTTTCTGTTGTGTGTGACATCCGCTCTTGCCAGGCTGAATGAAGGCTTCTCTTCTAACTCAGAGATGCCAAAGCACGACCCTGCAATCCATTGGATTGGCTTCAAAACCAGATTGGGCTCTTGGATAGTTAGATACTCTGGAGAGAATGGATAGAACTGGAAAGGAAGTTTGTATCCCCAAATGTCACTGACAAAATACCTGTAAAATACTTTGGAAAACTCACTGGTGATTTTGGATGTGATGTTATCAGAAGGATAGGTTGGTTACAAGTTACATTTTTCAGTCTGTTGGCTCAGATGAGGATGAGAGGATATTCTTCTAGGGCTGGAAGAGGTCAGTAAAATGAGTGTTGTATGGTAGAAATGCTTATCCAAAATACTGGCTAATTTGGAAGTAGAAAATTCCTTTATTTTTTCCATCTGTGCATGGAAGAAATTGATACATTGATTTCTTTAGAATAGGAACTGGAGATCAAAAAGTTCCCATTTTTTACTCTTAGCTGCTGCAGGCTAATTTTGTTGTTGCATTTCTGGAAGAAATATTTGAGAATACCTTTGTTTGTGGGGAAGATGAAAAGGAAGTGTTGAGTGTCATTGTTGGACATTTATTACCTAGAGTGTTGCACCTAGTTTTTAAGTGAATTACTCAAAAGCACAATAAACCTGCCTGCCTTTGGGGTGTAGCAGAAGTGGCTTTATTTTAACTTAGTCAGTGGGGGCACTGTTGCTTCTCATGAGTTGTTGGACACAACGCAGTGTTTAATGCAAAACAGATTGCAGGGATTTGGAGTGAAATGCCTAAAAGTCAGGGCATGAGGGAAGGATGGAATCTCTGGTGGCTTTTAATGATGATGCTGCAATTCAGTGACAAGTTCAAGAGTAAACTACTGAGTACTTTTGCACCAGGTTTATTTCCCTTTGTGTTATTTCTCTTTGTCCAGGGGTTGTCAATGAGGCAAATCAGATTCCGGTTCGATGGGCAGCCAATTAATGAAACAGACACACCTGCACAGGTAAACAGCACAAGCAAGACTAAAGAACTATTTGAAATTTGCTGCAGGAGTTGATGCTTCTGTTTCCTGTCAAATACTTGCATAATTGTATCTATTACTGATAGAACTGGATCTTTTTTACCATTATTTTGGTGTAACTACTTTAGGATGTTCAGAAATGGAATCCAAGACTTTTGGTGTTTTGAATAATAAATCTGTATCACTGTAATAATAAACCAGAAAAATTAAGTACAGGTACAGATGGTGAGTCCTGTAAAACTTTCACTTTATTGGTTCATGGCTCTGAGATAAGGATGGTAAGCTAAGAATTGAGTTTTTCTTGAAGCAATGGCATTATTTTTTATATAAAAGCATGCCAGGATGCTATCAGAGAGATCCTGTTTGCAAGCTTGCATTTGTAATACAAAAGTAATTTCTGTTGTTTGTGATCTAAAGCTGTTTCAGTAGCATGGAATTAATGAATATGGTGAAGTTTGGGTTGTCTGTAAGTATTTGAATGAAGGCATTCCAAGAACAGAATGGTTCCCTGTGGCCCTGGAGCATTTTTCTGTCCTGCTCCACGGAGCTGTGTTTAATCAGCCTGACCAAGTGATAGTTTTATCTGCTGTTCAGAACCACTTGTAATGAAATAACGGACTTTAGTTTTCAGTTCTGAATTTTCCAAGCTGTTGCTTCAAAGATTGTGCCTCTTGTGGCCCCAATCTATGGAACTTTTTAATTTACAATACTGATAATTGAGGCAACAGGATGATTTTTCTTTTCTATCCATGTTTTGCTGAAGCTTAGACCAGTCTGTTTATAGCTGTGGTAAATAGCATAGACTAGTTTGCTTTCCTAAGCAGCAATTGAGTCTGTTTAGAAATATAACTTGAATTAGTTACAGCAGCCCTTCAGTTTTGGTACAGATTTTGTCAGTAGGTGCCATTAACATCCCAGGAATATCAACTGTAAAACTTAGGGTGAAAAAAGAGAATTATGTTAATGAAGTATTGCTGTTCTTCACTGTCAGTTGTTACATGGTTACATGCCAAGTGTTTTTAATTTTTTTGTGCTTGCTGATCCTTGGTTTTACTGCCTGGTTGGGCAGAGGCTTTAATTCCAGTCTGCTTCCCCATTGCTGTAGCCATTTTAGCAACAGCAGCCAACTGGAATTGTGGCAATGTTTTAAGGTAAACTGAGGGAGTAAATAGGAGAACAAAGGTGCAATGGCAAAGCAGGCAACAGAAATCAAATATTACCAATCTGTTTCTTAGGAGTCACACAGTGTACCCTGAAGTTAGTACTAGAATTCATTCTAGGTCAACAGTTATCAATTGGCATTTTTTTTTCCTGTGCAATTTGCTTTTGAGTTTAGTGAGTTTTGTTAAATGTATAAAAGGCTGGTGGTGAAGGGGAGTGGGGCTTCTCTGGTTAAGTTGCATAAAAAGTAAACATAAAGTCAGGAACTGTAAGAACAACCCAGGCTGCTGTGGAGATGTGAGAAGAGTTGAAAGCCCTTTTTTCTTTTTTTCTGCTGTAGTTGGAAATGGAGGATGAAGATACAATTGATGTGTTCCAGCAGCAAACAGGAGGAGTTTACTAAAACAAACACACAAAAAAGAACCTGCTACTTTCCTCTCCAGAACTGTGCTCCCACAGGCGACACTTCACAATTAGAAAAATGAGACTTGGTTCAGCCACATCCTGACTACTGCAGTATAGTTTTCTCTCTTCTCTCTGATTTTTTTTTTCTTATTCCTTTTATTGTACATAAAGTAACTGGTGATGTGCACAAGCATAATGCATATTTTTTTTTAACTAAATGGCCAATGGTATGTTTTGATCAACATTTAATGGAGATGGGGTGGGAAAACAAACTGGTTCTGTGAAAATGCCCCTCTCTCCATTAGTGGCATGCTCCTTCTACTTTTACAGAATCACAGAATAAGCCGAGTTATCTTTATATTCCAGTAAGTTATTTTGCTCTCACTGTTCAAAAACAAAAACCTTGCATACCTTGTTTGATTGGATAATTTCAATGTTTTTCTTTTATCATTGTAAAACCAAGGGCAATTTTATAACTTTTTTGTACGTAGCTGTTACATGTAGAGCAATCTCTGTCTAAGTAGGGGTAAATTACTCTTTAAAAAAAAAGGAAAAAAAAAAGTCCTAGATAGTTTTCCCTTCAAGTAAAACGTCTTGTTGTTTAAATAAACTTCTTGTTTAAAATAACCAGTTTTCTTTCTTTTTCTGTGGAGTAATAGTACTCAGCACCTGTATTTCTTTCTCTGCAGCACTTTATGCTTCTCAAATCTCAGCTTTCTCTGTGGTAAGTAAGCATAATCCCCCCTATCTAGGCAGGAGACTGTTAAAAAAGGAAAGGCTTCCTTGAGGTCTGTCAGTCAGCAGTTGAACTGGAAATAGAAGTCAGTTTTCTCTTAATTTGATTTATTTTTATTTTTTTGTGAATGTTCTGCTAAGCCAAAACTGTTTGATTAGTCAAACTGCAAAATACTGAACTACTTGGTAATGCCTTTGGGTTGAGCTCTTCTTGTCAGTCTTTAATAGAAGCATCAATATTGTTGTTGCAGTAGTTTATTCAAGACTCTGTATTTGAATGCTTATTGATGTAAACATCAAGTTAAAGAGAGCAAATAATTTCATTAACCGTTCAGTTTACCATGGTATCAAATGGGAGCTGCTTGGAAATGTAAAGCAAAAATAAAAAATTGAGTTCTGTTTTTGGGTGTATTTAGCTATGGTGATGGAGATTCCAAGCTCTGCTTTACCCCACTCTGCTGTTCTGCTTGGAAGAGGGAAAGAGGCTGGAGGTACTGAAGGGAGGTACAGTGATGGTGGTGTTTTTCACAAGTCTTCTCTACAATTCTTGAGCTCTTGGGGAACTTTTGGGGGAAGTTTTGAGGTTGGAGTGAAATCCATGGACGTTCATGGAAGATTATATACCTGTCAAACCCACAGCATTCTTTGATGTCCTAGGAATGTTCCAATATTTTATAGTAACTTCATGCTTTTTTAGGTATAAATTTCTTTGAAGAGGCCACTATTTGGTGGTGTTTTTTGTAACAGTTAATTCAAGGAGTGATTGTTACACGTGGGGCCTGTGCCTGCTTGAGCTGAAAGTTTTGTGGCAGAATGATGGGTGTGTGCATTTAGCTGATGAGTTGTGATCTATTTGTCTTCTGTCAGAAATAACACATTTGATGCTCCATTAGTTTCATCTAGTGGAGATACAGGGAAAATTAACATCTGTTTTTGCAGTTGCACTTGAGTCTGTAGCTGAAGAATGTAATCTACTGTGTACCTTTGTTTTAATTCAAGGAAATGCTGTTGCCAAGCAGATTACTTCTCATTGTGGGATGTATCTTGTAGACTTCTGTGGTGTTTTGCAGGATTGAAATTCCTTCTTGTGAACAAATGTTTACATATTCAAGTCTAAAAGGTCTAGAAAAATCTACTTTGAAGAAGAGGGTGGTGGGGGAATACATTTCAACATCTTTCCTAGGTTACATGTGGAATACATTGCTCTTTGGCTTTAGAATCTCTGGCTTTTAAGCTGGCTAAACTTCTGATATCGGTGTATAAAATACTTTCAACTTGATGTCATGCCAAGACTTTTCCCAGGAGAAAGCTGTCTTTATCTTGTTTGGCCAAAAAAGGTGTTTGGACTTGCTTTAGTTTCTGAAGAAAGGGTGAGGTCTCCTTAAATACGATTTTTTTTCAGCTCAACTTAATATTGTGAAGCTCAAAGCTCCCTGTTGTATCTTGCCTTGTACTTTTTATTTCCTGAGGCAACAGACGTCAAGTGACAGATACTGAAGAGCTTTTAAAAACAATGTCTTCATTTCCTGAATTAGTTGTGTTACTTCATCTGTCATGAACTTATGTGCAGCATTCACCTACATTCCTCCACTTTTCATCTTTTTGCTGTTAACCTGGGCTTGCTTATGTTCCTGAAATGATTCTCTAACAATGCTGAATGGTGTTCTGTTAGGTGGTGACTCCAGCCAAAAAAAGTGTTAAATAGTCTTTTCTGATACAGTTTCTTGTTTTTTTAATCTAATCACAAAAACAACTTCAGTGACTTAGTTCCTCAAGAGCCTCAAATGTTGAATTTCCATTAGTGCAGCAAACGTGGGGTGATTTCTGGTTCTGATATATAACACGTTGGTGTAACAGTAATGCAGAAATACAGTCCTTTTTAAAAAAAGAAAATTAGCAGTCTTTCTGCGTGATCTTGCAAATACTCTCTTTATGTCAGAACTTGTTTTTGTCTGTACTGCTCCTCTGGTGCTACAGATTCACCTGTGGATTCCTGATTGCTGGAATCCTCTGTGGTTTTACTGTGACTACCTCTTTTAGGGAAGCTGCTGCTGGGGGTGATGATTTGGAAGTGCTGTGGAGTACAGGGATATGGACAACTTGAATCAACTTATTTGGGGTACACTTTGCTGCTGGGTTTGGTTTGTGGCAGTTCCTGGGTTTACACTTGTAGCCACATGGGCTTCTGGAAGTCCAGTTGTTGGAGGATAAAGGAAAAGTGGGCAAAGAGGTCTTGTCAGGCTAGTTGGGAGGTAAGGTCTTCATGTTTTATTAAACAGCTGGGATCTTTCAAGAGCCTGGGAAAATTACATTATTACTCACAATTTTCAAATAATGTGTTCTAAAGTGATTGCCATGCAATTTAGTTAATATTTCTCCCATGGTTTTTAAATGAAAAAGAATGGACTAAGTTATAATTGGATGCAGTCCCCTGGTGAGTTCTGGTGGATGGCTGGACCCCTTCAGCCTGTGCTGAGGTTTTAGTCTTTCAAATGAGTTGTGAACATGACCAGTTTAAAAATAGGTAACCAAAATTCTGTCAGGTACCTTAAGTAAGGCATTTTTATTCATGTGCAGGGGAGATAATGTCAGATGGAAATCAGCTGGTTTGGGTGGTTGACACCTGAAAACCAATGGCTTTGTTTATCTGCACAGTGGGGATCACAGCCACCCCAGGGGGCTCCTGTGGGGGTCAGTGGCCCGAGGTGCTGATTCGGAAGGGGATGAGGAGTGCAGGGCTGCTCTGACATGGAATTTTCCGAGCTGCCAGGCCTGTAAAGAAATACTCCAAATGGTAACATGAGAGAGATTCTTGTGCTGGCATATGGAGGTGTTTTTAACAAAGAAAAATCCCTGAAGTAACACAAAGATAATTGCTGCTTCAAGATAACTGCGATATCAGAACAGAGACAGCATCTCTGCAAGGGTTAAGGTCAAAGCAAGTTGGTTTTCCAGCAGGAATTTTCCTTTCTAGTACCTTCACTTCATTACTTCCGAGTCAGTGTAACCTAAGTGCTGTCATTTGCCTGGTGGATGCTGGTTCTATTGTGTCTCTTACTGCAACATTAATGAAAAGGCATAATGTGACTGGCTGAAAGAGACTTCCTAGGCTTCAGCCAGCTGGAAGTAACTGAATTTCTAAGGAACAGCAATTTGTTTTCAAAGCTAAAGATGAAAAGATGCCTCCTTGGTCATCATGTGAACAATAAATCCAAGTATTTTTCTTAGAATTTTAGGTAGTGGCCTCTTCTCAGTACATATGTGTCAGCTGCTGTGATGGACTCTTGTGGAGTATTAATCTAAAAGCATTTACATAACTTGGATTATTATTAATTATATTAACAGCATAATTAATGCATTTAATTCTCTGGTTTATTGAGGTTTGTTCATTCTGCTTGTGATGAGTTTCCAGACAATGTGTTCTGATAGGGAATAATCAATCCTTTAGTTTGTCTTGCTTTTTCAGGATGTAGTGGCAGAAGGAATTGGTGGTCCAGCACTTCTGGGTGATTAGGATGTAGGAGTGTGAGGATAAATGGAAGATGGAATTTTAATCCCTATTCTCAGTTTTGTTTGACCTCCAAGATGTTTAATTCCAGGGGTTTCCTGGTGTCTTCCCTAGCAGCAGGGGAAGGTGATGTTACTGTAACATGGAGGTGTTGGGAGCCCCACCCAGGTGTTTATGGAATGCTTAAAGTCCCTTTAAGGGAAGAGTTTTCCCTTGTCCTGGAAGGATTTCAGTTTACATGGGAGGGGTGGTGCTGTGGAAGGACTGGCTGGGTGTCAGCTGAGATCCCAGAAGGGAAGGCCAGCAGGTGCTGGAGAAGGACAAGGGATGTGTGTGAGAGCTGCAGTGGGAATGGGGACTGTGGGGAAGAGCTGTAGGTTTAAATAATCCCTGTGTGAGGATGACTTTGGAGTACTGGGGAAAGGCTAAGCCCAACTAGTAGAGTTTCTCCCTTGGAAAGGAATATTCTTCAGGGAAACATGGATGCAAAAGATACCATTTGTGGTGAATTTTGTGCTGGTTTTTGTGGCTTAGATCTCCTCCTTTCAGCACCCAGTACATGGATCCTGTCAAGCACATCTGATTCCCTGCAAGGGCTCTTGAAGGATCACTTAAATAAGAAAACTTCACTGTTTAAGAAAACTGAAACAAAACAAGACTGGGACACTGACTTCCCCTTCCAGCAACCCTGCCTTTTCCCAGTAAGGAGGAACACTTTGGAGTGCACGACCAGGCTTGGTGGTGTTGGATGTCCAGACAAGAACAGCAGCAGGAACTGGCCACTCTGCTTTTTGTGTTGTTCAGAGCTACATCTCTACAGCTTTGAGAGGAGTCTGGGCACTCTGGTGCAATTCCCCATCCCAAACACTGACAGGCTGTTGGGAACTTTTCCTGAAGATGTAGGGAGGTACCAGAGCAACTTTCACAACTCTTGTAAACAACAGCATCAGCTCTGTGGGACAAACCATTGGATCTGTAGGATCCATGTTCCACTGAACCTCTATGCATCACTCCAGATGCAAAAATCTGACAGGGGAAAATCCAGCTGTGGCAAGGATTGTTTATTAGCTGGCACTTCAGCTGGGAATGAAATGGGGCAAGAGAAAACTGAGTCAAACCCTCTTTTTTTGTGCCTGGAATAAAGAAGGGATGCTCTCTGTGACAGCCATAAGTAGCAGAGACTGGCATGAAGAAACCCTTGGTCACAGAAGGATGACCAAGCTGAGGCTTTTCTCAGACCAGTGGTATCTCCCCTTGCCTAACCCTTGCATTTCCTGGAGTCTTGTTCAGACTTCCAGAATGCACAATACATTGTGCATTCCTTGCTGGTGGAATTTCAACAACAGGTGGAATTGTTTGGTGTCTGAGTGCTCCAGACAGCTGC